AAACGTACATTTATTTGACTCTCTAATCATTCTCACTACCTGTACAACTCAGGGTGACACCTCAAGGTAAACGTACATTTATTTGACTCTCTAATCATTCTCACTACCTGTACAACTCAGGGTGACACCTCAAGGTAAACGTACATTTATTTGACTCTCTAATCATTCTCACTACCTGTACAACTCAGGGTGACACCTCAAGGTAAACGTATATTTCTCTGATTCTCTAATCATTCTCACTACCTGTACAAGTCAGGGTGACGCTTCAAGGTAAATATTCATTTCTCCGTTCACAGTTTAGAGTATAAGCTTTAATGACAATGGAAACCGCTTCTGAACTGTACATGCAGAATATACATGTTCTTTAAAGCAGTGTGCAACATTGTTAAAATCAGCCGATACCAATATATATATATATATAGTTTTCAAGATATAAAATATAGTGTGTTTAGCTACTGATTTCCAACATTGGTCTAAAGTAGCTCTATATGATTTACTATGTATATTTTTCTCAGTTTTTCTCTTACAATTTCCAATTACTTTTTAATTTTCATGGCATACAGTTTTGAAGTCATATAAAATCATGTATGAAAGATAGATATAAATCGAAAGATGCATGTCAAAAAAAAATCATCACAAAAGGATGATAAAACTGACAAGATTGAACTCGTTTCCTATGCTGGGATAATTTACAAAGACCAATAACTAAAGGAAGAGAAAGGTTACTTATATGAAAAAAAAAATCTTAATTAGTTTATTCTTGAAAAGATAAATTGTTCAGACCTTCTGCCAGACAGTCCTTAGTTAAATTCCCTCAAACGAATATCTTAGAACAACGACCTAATTACAGATTGAGATGATTTCCTCGAGAGGTTAAAGGATCTTGTTCCCCAGTCTGCAAATAAGGCACCCTAACCAAAGGGTAAGTAGCTTTCTTCAAGACGGCCAGAGTTCTCATTCCCTAGACAACAAATGAGACATCCTAACCGTCTGGGGAATGAGAACTCTGGCCGTCTTGAAGAAAGCTTCTCATCCTTTGTTAGGATGTCTCATTTGTTAGTCTGGGGAATGAGAACTCTGGCCGTCTTGAAGAAAGCTTCTCATCCTTTAAAAAATAAGACACCCGAACCAAAGGGTGAGAGACTCTCCTCGAAAGGGTCAGAATTCTTGTTTCTTAGGTTCCAAATTGCTCTATAGCATCAGCATATTTTAACAGAACAATAGCAGTTATATTCAGGTTTGATAGAAGAAAAAGTCCTTCAACCAACCATTCGGGGTATTCAATTTTAAAAACATAGAACACATCTCAGAAAAGTGCAATATGGTGTATAAAAAGTGGTTGTTAGTGAATCTTTTGTTATCACTTATATATCTTTTGCAACCCAGGAACCAACGTCCTTAAAGTGTGCACCGCTATCAGTCTCTGTAATGTAATTCAATAGTATGCCTGTATTGAACTCCTTTATATAAGTATATAAAATGAATATTTATTATTTTCACGTTTACTTCCAGTAGACATTAATATTCTTTCAAAACTGTACTTGTGCAACATATTTTTTTCTGTTCCAATTTAGGTCTGATATCGCCAGGACTCTCTGTCCCAGTGCAAGTCCCAGCCCAGACTGGTGAACTAAATATGTCCTCTGCCTATTGGCCAAGAATTCAGTGACATTGGGAGCGTCAGAAGCACGTATAGACAGGAAAACGAAAACTAGCTTTTGACGCCCTTAACGTATTTAACCATAAAAAAAAGAGTCTTTATTAACTGTTGGTGAATATAAATATACAGTTTTATTAAAACCTGAAAGAAAACACAAAATTAACACCATGAACAGACTATTCTTCTGAGGAAGCTGTGAAGCTCTAGGGTTTCATCCTTTTATATTACTGTTATCAACATCTGTAGTTCTAACAAAAACTATCTTAATGTAATGTTATCGAAAAGCACTTGGTCATTCGGTTTACTACCAAGAAATATCACGTAATGATAAATCTCGTGCACATCAAATTTAGTCTAAACTTTATACATTACAGAAGTCTTTAGCCATTGAAAATGTGAATATCTGACATTTCCCCTGACTTTTATCTAGTCTTCCGGTTTATTAGTTATTACAATTGCATGTTTGTACTATAGCTCTTTTTGTGCTACAGTTTGTATAACTGAGTCTTTTTAATGTGTATTTGTTACAAGGTGTGGAAGATTTGATTGGTGTAAATTTTGTCCATAAAATGTTACTTTTGAAAATGGAGAAATATGCAACATTTTTTTTCTTTCCATACAAATCACTGTCTTTTAACAAATATTGTATAACTAATATTAGAAATTTCATGAACAAGCCTTACAATATTTAAGATACGATACTTTTTTTTTTAGATTTGAAACGGTTATGTTTAAGTACAGACTGATTTTGAGATCATTTTCTGACGACGTTTATACAGATATTTTACACAGATGCCTCCAAAACTTTTAATACTGGTTTTCATCCTTGCTATTCAAAAAACAAACAAAACAGACAATAATTTCCAATAAGAAATAGATAATTTAAACTTACTGTTTCAATAATATTGGCGTTGTTGAACCGTCGCCATTTAAACTCTCTCTTATGTTATAAAGATGATTAGATTAATCCGTAAAGTTTATTGAAATCGTGTGTTCGTTGTTGTTGGTAAAGCTGCTTTGCCTCTTCTGTACTTGATATTTTACGCTGGATCGTATTTATTCACTGTTTTCTATATGTTTTTTACTTCAAGTAGTTAAGCTGAAACATTCCTGTTAATAGAAGTCAAATCATATTAACATAACGACATTCAAACACCTCTCGTGACAATTGAAGCACTAATGTCCGATCGTCTCTTTAAAATAAATATTTTGTTTAGATAAGACCTTAGATTCTTCCTCAGTTATCCTTATAAAAAGATAACCTTGAAATTTTCCCCCTGATTTAAAAAAAAGAGAGAAAAAAAGAGAAATCGTGAGAATAATTTGGGTAACAAACGGGTAAGCACTAAAGATGTGCTGGGTAGAATACTCTCTTTCAGTTGAGAGGTGTGTTTCCTTTGTTCATTTTTTACCCATAGTACTCTCTTTCAGTTGAGGAGGATGTTCTTTTGTGCATTTTTTACCTGCTGCACTCTCTTTCAGTTGAGGGGGGGGTTTCTTTGTTCATTTCTTACCCGCAGTACTCTCTTTCAGTTGAAGGGGTGTCTCCTTTGTTCCTTTCTTACCTGTAGTACCATCTTTTAGTTGAGGGGTTTCTTTGTGCATTTTTTACTTGCTGCACTCTCTTTCAGTTGAGGAGGATGTTCTTTTGTGCATTTTTTACCTGCTGCACTCTCTTTTAGTTGAGGGGGGTTTCTTTGTTCATTTCTTACCCATAGTACTCTCTTTCAGTTGAAGGGGTGTTCCCTTTGTTCAATTCTTATCCGCAGTACTCTCTTTCAGTTGAGGAGAGGAGGATGTTCCCTTTGTGCATTTCTTACCCGTAGTACTCTCTTTCAGCTGAGGGGACGTTCTCTTTGTGCATTTCTTATCTGCTGCACTCTCTTCAGTAGAGGAGTATTCACTTTGTGTATTACTTTCTCGTAGTACTCCCTTTCAGTTGAGTGGTGTTCAATTTGTGCACTTCTTGCCCATGGAAGGTATATGTTATCGTAACATTTCCTTTAGTACCAGAAATATCCTTCAAGTAATACTTTAAACGACCGAGAAGGCTGGTTAATATGATGATCTAACACTTGTACAAGTTTGTCTCGGGTAAGGAGTTTTTCAGAGTAAGTAACTTAAGCATGTTTTATTCTAATTACTTGACATCAGCAAGATGACAATCATTTTCTGAGTCTACGACCTTAGTATAGTTTAATGACTACAGAAGATACCTACCTATCTTCTCTCATTGATAGATTTAAAAGTTTAATGTATATACTTATAATTATTCCTTCACAGGTATATATAGAAAACTAATGTTAATGAAAATAAGAACTAGCTTAGGCTGACTCCACGGATGCTATCAACTTAATACTAGGTATATTTTTTAATAAAAATGATATTGTAGTCTGAAGAAAGATTAACACCCCGTAATAAAAAAAAAGTGCACTAGAACACCCAAATATATTCTAAGGCATTTCTAATATCGTTATCAGCACATTCACATTTTAAAATCGAAAGAAAACCAAATTAAACCCAATAAATTAACTATTGTAAATACAGCAAAGCACGATTTTCAGATCTCAACCAAAACTAAAGAATAGAAAGATTTACAGCCGTCACTTCTGTTGTAGGAATATCGATGTGTTAAATGTGATGCTACATATATGAACATGATTTTTCAGAGCTTAACTACATTGAAAAAGGAGCATGGATTTGACTAGTCAGAAAATACAATCCGGTTTAAAAAAAAAACGTAACTCTATCAACAACAACAACAAATTATGAATGTCAATGGTAATGACTGAAGGATTTAAGAAATTAGAGAAACTATTCGTGTCCAACACAACAATAAACACATTTCAATAAAACTATTCTAACGAAACTATTAATTATTAACTAAATAACAAAATGATAATATTTTATTATTCTTACAGGAATCTATTTACGACTCTTAAGACAACATTTTAAATATCAAAGATCGTGAAGACATATGTGAATCTGTAAAACTTCGAAACATTCTGTAGAAAAGAATGTTTATATATAACTGGATTCGAATCCACATTATCTTTTGTTAACACTCGTTGTACCAACTTTTTCATTCTTGTTAATTTATCATTTTAATCGTTTAAAGTTTTGTATACGAAAACGAGAACTGATTTAATAACTTCAAACTTCTAAGAGCTAATTAAATTTTGACGTATTCACTTGCACTTATGTGGTTCTATAATAGCAAGGGAATAAGAATGATATGCATTTATCATGGTTTAGCAAAGAAAAAAAAACGTTCCTTAAGAAGACAAAGTGGAAAATGTAAAATCACGTGGATATGGAAAATTATGCTGAAAAACATTCCTGGAAATAAATTATTATTAATTCCATTAAAAATTTCCTTTGTCTTTTCACACGGAATTTTGTTGTTGTTAGTATAGAGATCTATCATAAAGTTCTTTTATTTCAAGATCAGGTAATTTAAATATGCGAAAAAAGTAACGTGATCATGTTCGTTTTTTGTCAAGTGTCTGAGTTTTTTGGAATTCATTATCTTCAGTATAATTTCAAAATTTACTCAGTTGCTCAGTTACAATTTGTTTTGTTTAGCAAATTTAGAAATATGAAGTTTAACTGATGATGTCATAAAACTTTAAACGACGGAAAAACTTTTGGTTCTGTGAGCCACAAATAATACAATATTCATAAGTTCTTCTGTGGATGTTAGGCTTAATGTATGTGTGTGTGTGTGTATTTCAAAAATCACTCGAAAGCGCACAGAATGATATTTTGTCAATGACGTGATTTGATGATTACAAAAAAGCATCAGAAATATGTACATGTTTGAGAAGAAGAAATGATAACTATTAAAACTATACTTATATAAACGACAAATCTACGTTTCGAGTAATATTTTATATTTTGATTAACAGAAGAAAAAATTCTTACTTGAAATTTTATGCTTTAATACAATATGTTTACTTACTTAAATTAAATTATTTGATTTTTTTATCTCAATATTACAATTTTTTCTTCCTCATATGTTGGTGAAGAGGCGCCAGCATCATTTCAAGTGTAAACAACAACATATCAAACTTAGAAATTTATTCATTTATGTTTATGAATAGAGACAGAATGAATAGGTAGTCACGATTATATACGCTTAAACGTACTGAAAAGAAACAAATATTTAATGAAAAAAAAATCTAGATAACTGGTTAAACAAGACGTGGACTTTATGTCAGGAATTTTCAAACTTACAAAATTATTTAGAAACAAAACAGTCACTAAAAATTAAGGGAATTTTGAACGTTCTATGGTAGTTTTGATATGTATATGTTTTACGTAAACTTACAAAGGGTACTAGAGGTAACTAATAACTTTAAATAATATTTTTACTGTTAGGAATTCAGTAAGAATATAATAAAGTTATTTCATGTGATATATATGCTGTAAAAGAAGACATTTCTAGCTTCTAAAGACAGTAAATACCTCGTGATATCGTTCTCAAGAAAAGACAATTGTAACAGATTATATCTTTAAATAATAATTTAACTAGAAAAATTAGTCAGTAGTTCTTGTTACGAACTAAATCTGTCCTTTAGTAGTTGAAGATGAAATCGCATGACACTTTTAAATGAACCTAAATTAGGCATAAGTCTACTGTATATTGTGATAAAAAAGCAGATAACCTACTGGAAGATTCATGACGAGATATTGCCTAAGATGGCATTTGTAAAACATTAATTAGATGGAATTTCTACTTTACATAAAATGATGAAACAAGACAGTTATTAATGTTCTATAATATGTTAACTGGCTTATTTTTTACTAACATGCATGGATGTATAAATATTATAATAAGGTATTCTGGAGGCTTAGGGGAATAAAAACTAACATCAATAAAATGGCTGAAATTTTAAAAATATTCTAGGAGGCATCAACATTAAGTAAGATTATAAATGGGTAAGACGAAAAAGTAAATAAATTAACGTAAATACCACCACCGCTGAACGTAAAGTATTCTGAGTAGTGGTAGTAATAAAATAATTTATCGTATTATTCCACTAATTGTTTGATATTACTTGAATAATATTTTACAGATGATAATTTTTTTTCAAAACCTGCAACATGTTTTTGACAGATCTTTTGTAGCTTGTTTTTAGATTTACAAAAAAATCTCACTTTTCTTTTACTGTGTGAGTAAACGATCCACCGAAACAAACTCAATGATCTCATTTTTCTGTTTTGTAACTTTGGCTTTTTATTTCATAATTTATGTTATGTAGGTTTCCAATTCTAAATATTTTTAGCACGAATGAATTTACTTTGTTATCAGAAAGCCATTTCTTTGTGCTTTTGTAAAACTTATTAATAAATGATGTCATTATGTCACTGTCTGTTTCATGGGGTTGTAGTAATGGTATTTGTGAAAAGTTTCTAATAAAGTTTGTAAATACATGCAAGTTGTTCAGTGTGTATTGGGTTTTAATGAAACGTATGTTAAGTAATTTCCTTTAGAACTCTGCCATTGTAATTAATCCGGATAAAATAAACCCTTCAGTAAGAAGAAACAAAGATTGTTTTAAGAGTCTCAATCTGTTTTTATACGGAATTTTAGTTCTCGATCAATAAAATTTACAATATTTTTCTCAGTCAGACAGAATCATCATTTTAAAAATAAGATAAATTTTACACACAGAGACTTTTTGTTGTTGCTTAACCAATTACATTTATAGTGATGGAAAAATGATTGCACCACCCAAAGTTTTTCACACTTTTCTTGGTTCCTGAAATTTCTTACGAGATTGTGCATTGTGAAAGTGTCAGAACTAGTGTAAAACGGTTATGAACATTGTGTAGTGTAAGCTGACTCATATTTCAGCCATCCAAACACATATATATACATCTTTATTAACAAACCAACCGTTACAAACGTATCGTAGGAGATGATCAGGAAATATTTGGCAAATACGAAAATGTTCTGTGAAGAAGAAAACCTAGATTTAAGGATAATGCTACTAATGTAGTTGACAAAATTGGTCACAGAGCCTGTTTCTTGTTTTAACAGTTGGTTGTGCTCCCTCTGGACTTGATAACTGCTTAGCATCGTCGTGGCATAGAGTGCACGAGGAACTGAATGTAGGTAGTGGCGAGTTCAAGATAGCACACGCGGATTAGAGTTTCCTGAAGTTCCAAAGTGCCTTTCTGTTGCTTCTCTTACACTTCTTTCTGTTGCTTCTCTTACACTTCTTTCTGTTGCTTCTCTTACACTTTATTACCCATTACTTTTCAACAGTTTTCGATAGGATTCAGATCTAAACAGTCCTTCATCTGAAGCAATGAAATAAAAGCTAATGTCTCTTTTCAATACACGTAGAGTGAAATTTCTTCTTTATTTCACGTCTGCTGCATAGATTGCATAAATGTTACCAACCTTTTTAGCTCTTTGGCATAGAGCAGAGTCATCCTGGAATGTGCACCGGTCAGCTCCACCAAAGTGATCCCAAATTGTTGGCTTTAACTAGAACTTGATGTACTTGTCGGCATTGACAATACTTTTCACAAAATGCAGGCGTCCCACATCCTGGCCAGAGATGCATCTCCATGTCACCCGACTCTTCGGATACTTCACATTTCCATTTAAACACATTGGGTGAAACTGTTCTCCACATTGATCAACAAAGTGCTTCCCATCAGACCCGTGAAGGTTAATCTTTGATCACTCTAAGAAAATTCTTTGGTTCACATTGCTTCAGTCCAGTCAACATGCTCTTTGGTCCAGTTGAGCCTCGTCTTGTTGGTGAGAAGGGGTTTCTTTATTCACTGTCTTGCTGTGAAAACGGCTGAACACAGATGAAAACAGGGTGAGCGCACGGTGACAGTGACCTCTGAAGTTTCCTGCTATGCTCTTTTGAGATCCCTCGACGACAGTCGACGATTTTGTAGGCTCATGTGTTTCAGAATACGATCGTTAACTGCTGTGGAAGCTTTCTTTTTTACCCATTTCCTTCCGCTACTCCACACAATCAGTCTCTCTCTATATATCTGCACCCAGCAGCTCACAGTAGACTGGTTAAATTTAATTTTTCTAGCAATATGCCTTGTCGAAAGCCCCTCTTTGGTCAAAGAAACAATGACTGCTTTTTTTTCCGTGGAGTTAACTCGCAATCCTTGGTCATGGTAGTATCACAAGCAGATAGGTTCCTAAACTGACTATCAGTAAGAACCTCTATTTATAGCCAAAAAAAATAGCTGATGCAATACCCAGATAGCCTATAAAAGCTGCTGAGGGAATAATTAGACAGTATTGAATCATCCGTGAAACTTATATTTGCACCTACATGCATTATGTCCTCAAAACAGAAGATTATTCCAGAAAAAAATGTGAAAAAAGTGGGTGATGCAACAAATATTTCCATTACTGTAGTTGTGAAGATTTTCTTTACAACCTAGACTAAACTAATTTGAGGAAAACTGAAAAATATAGGATTTATTCATTGTTATTTCCATAAAGATGTTGTTGTTTTCCTAGTGCAAAGATACACAATAGGCAATTTCTACTCTGTTCATCACAAAAAATAGAACCCCGGGGTACTCCAATTATTACTGATATTGATTCAATGAGTATTTTCTTAAAGTAAAATCTTAATTCTATGTGATGTGTTCACCAGTAATACTAACCAGATATTGTACTAATAGACGATTAAATGGCAACATACAGTAACAAACTTTAAGTCAATGATCATATTAATGGCGATGTATTTTTTAAAATAACAACATACTTTGAGGAGGTTAATGGAATTAATAAACACAGCGTCTTCTAACAAAATGGTGGATTTTTATCACTGAATAAAGTACGTCCTAGTATTACGCTTAAACTACCAGTTATAAAACTTACCATTAAAGCAAGATATTTAAGTAAATTAACTTTAAATTGTAACTCAATTATTTAACCAAAGAAACTGTTTCACAATATGTACAAATTACGGAGCAACAAACATAATAGTTTGTTTGTTGTAAAGCGCAAGTCTCACAACGAGCTATCTCTGCTATGCCAACTACGGGTATCGAAACCCGATTTTTAGAGTTATAAGTCGTCAAACTAACCGTTGAGCCACTAGGGGAAGTATGTATGCGTGTGTTTTGTTTATAGCAAAGCCACATCGGGCTATCTGCTGTGTCCACTGAGGGGAACTCAAACCTCTGATTTTAGCGTTGTAAATCCGAAGAGTTACCTCTGTCCTTCCAGGGGATCACCACTAGGGAAAAAGTAATAAGTTATGCATTGTCTCTGTCGAAACGAGCCCCCGTTGGGTCAGCGGTAAAATAATGGACTTACAACGCTAAAATCCAGGGCTCGATTCCCTGCGGTGAACAGAGTGCAGATATACCTTTGGTCCTCCAGTAGTTTAGTGTTAAGTTTGAGAGCTTACACGCTAAAAATTGGGATTAGATACCCGTGGCTCAGGTAGCCCATTGTGTTGTTTGTACTTAAATATGAAAGCAAGAAACAAAGTAAATTTACATTTAAAAGATTAATCATATATATATATATATATATATTTATATGTATTTGTAGAAAATTCTTTGCTGAATAATTTAAACCAGAAATTAGTACTGACGAACTTTCTTACTCTAAATCTGCCTCATTTAGCAAAACTAACCAGTAATATCCATTTACAATGATATTTGTCCCAGAAATCGTATATATTTAAAACCGCTGAATCAATAATACCTATATCATTAATAAGTTTTATCTTTTTAATGGTGGTTGTGCCATAATTACTTGAATATTAAGTAATTTCACTATTTTTCTCACAAGCAGAGAGGATTCTTCTTCGGGATTTTTTTTTTCCATCACTGGCCACACCTCCGCTACTTCTTGATCTATTTTCGCGCCATCTACACGGAGAAAAAATAAATACTCTGTTTTGTATTTGATATTTAATATCAGAGTTGAGCAAAACATTACAGTTGTTGTTTCGAAATTATATTACCATAACCAATTATTGTTCAATTTATATGTGGAAAAAGGAAAATACCTTAAATTAATTTTCATGCAACTTCAAACAGCTTTCTAAGTGAAATATACTTAGCTTAGATACATAAATTGAACAAATGTCTATGACAGGGTCAAGTAAAAACAAGACCCACTTTCTAGATGTCTTGAGAAGAATTGTTTGTTTTTGTAATTTTGCACAAAGCACCTCGATTGTATTCTGTGCTAGTTGTACCTAATCTGGAAGTGATAGACTAGAGGGAAGACACCTAGCCAAAACCACACACGCCAACTCGTGGGCTAATCTAATGAAATGGAGAGATTTGACCGTCATTCTTATAACGCACCTAAGTTCCCGAAGTGTGATGTGCAAATTTTATAATTTTACGGTAACGTGACGCGAACACATTGCCTGCACGTTAACCGCCTTGCCACACTCGGCTTTTGGCGAGCGAAAGAATTGAACTTATCGTGCTAATACTCCCATCCAATATACGTTTCGGTTTGGTGCACCTAATAAGTCGTTGTTTTTTTTAAAGTGTTTAACTCAAGAAAGTTTAGGTGGTGCATACAACTCTTCTTTTAAACAATTGACGACATTGCGAACTATTTGATAAAACAGCAGATAGGTAGGCTTGGTAGCATAAAAGAAGAATAAAATGCTATATATGTGAGATAGCCCACCAATTACATAATTTTAAAGAACAGCACAACTCAACAACCTTGGGTTGGTTGTTTGCAATTAAGCACAAAGCTACACAATGGGCTATCTGTGCTCTGCCCACCACGGGTATCGAAATCCTGTTTCTAGCGTTGTGAGTCCGCAGATATACCGCTGTGTCACTGGGGAGGGGAGGACAACCTTAGGTAAATAATTCACATTTGAAATAACCGGGCCTAAAACAAATCGCTCTATGTTACTGTTCTCATGTTCAAAACTCCCATGGTGTTTCCATTTATGGTGTTACTTTATAGTCCCGCTTTCTTGTTTGTTTGATATTAGTTCTATAATGTTGAATATCCAATTTCAAAAAGCAGCTTAAATAAATAAGTCGATGTATAAGCAGTATGTGAAGAACAGACATCTTATTACAACGACGCAAAGATCAGAGAAAGCAAGCATTCAAGCTGGTACCCTTTTCACAGCAACCTAACGTTTCTCAGTTTAATTAAATTAGCTTCTGCTCAGTTTACTGGGAAGAGACAGTCTGCCGGAAGGCCTCGAGTCTTTGCTTGTCACTTAGGATCATCCGTTTATCAGCTGGTGATCACTGGAGCAAGAGTACCTGTGACAAATGGTTTCTATCGCTTAATTCAACCAAATCCCACCTTACCTTGTATTCTCCCACGATTCCGTTATTGAATGTTTCTCAACGTTATCTAGAAAGATGTAAAGATGCAGTCAATCTATCCGTTCAAATTGACCCCGGATTTGTTACTGGGCTTTTGTTTCAATGGCAACCTGAAATTTGACTGGTTGATACGATTGAGAGTATTGTGGAAATAAGCAACACTATAAATCAAACAATAACAGTTATATTAAAGCATTTTGATTTTCAGTAAATGTAAATTGATAAAATAAAGGTCGTTGAAAGTTGATATTTTCACTTTTCGCGAAATATTAGACTTAGTGAAGTTTGTTTTATTTGTTTGTTTTTGGTTAAGTACAAAGCTACACAATGGGGTACCTGTGCTCCTCCCACCGCGGATATCGAAACTCGATTTTTAGCGTTATAAGTTCGGAGACATACCGCTGAACCATACCGCTGAACCACCAGGGGGAGGGGAAGCTTATTTAAGTAAAACGTATCATGACATCACTCTAATGTTTTCTTAGAACTCTGTTAGACAACACAGAATAACGTTTGTAATACTGTTATTAAACAAGAAGTTACGAAAAAAAAATGTATTGTAGTGTTTTATCATGTTAACAAATCAACAATTAAAGGAATTTGAATTTAAAAAAAGCAATAAAAAAATTTGGCTTAGGAAGGTTTCATCTGCACTAAGAAGAAAGTATGAAAAATCGAAAAGCAAGTCGAACCTAGATTACAATTATGACTTAAAATAGTGTTTGTTTCGTGTATCGACGTAAAGCTACACAAGGGCTATCTGCATTAGTCGTCCTTAATTTTGAACTGATAAACTAGAAGGAAAGCAATTAGTCAATAGCACCCACCTACTCCCAAAAGTGCGAAGAGCGATTTTTTGTTTATGGCAACGATACGTAAACCATAAATTCGAGGTAAATGTAGTAGTTAAAGATAGATACGTAAACTGTGAACTCTTCTGTGTTGGTGAAATATGATTTAATACTGATAAAGACTGCGTCTTATAACATGAAACCAAATATGATTTAATACTGATAAATACTACATCTTATAACATGAAACCAAATATGATTTAATACTGATAAAGACTGCATCTTATAACATGAAACCAAATATGATTTAATACTGATAAAGACTGCATCTTATAACATGAAACCAAATAACTTAAATGTTGATTGAAATAAAGAAAAACTTGTCAGAGTGAACTAAAAACACTTCCAGGTTTTATTGGGAATATGAATTTAAACCATGTTCACTATTATACGATTTTTTAAGTTCTGAGAGAAAAGAAAATCTCGGACCATACAGCCGTTGAAGAAATCCAGTGTATAACTACACATTTTAAACAGTTATGTGTTCTATTATTAATTCCTCATTGAATACAATTATATATATATTTTTCCAAAGCAAAGAGTTTATAAATGTATGTTTAAAGACCTAACAGTTCAGTAAAAAAAGATGATATAAAAACAACTTAATTGTAGATATTTTTATTTTCCTACATTTATGTTAATTTGTTCATCGCGGTTCGAAATCAGATTATTTCTATTACTTCTCCGGCTTTCGGCGTTTAATCCGTAACTTAAAAAGATGCTTGCCCATAATACTTCTCCGGCTTTCGGCGTTTAATCCGTAACTTAAAAATATGCTTGCCCATAATACTTCTCCGGCTTTCGGCGTTTAATCCGTAACTTAAAAAGATGCTTGCCCATAATAATAACAGGAGCTCAATACCCAGAATAAACGTGATGGAATGAGAACTAATTTCTAAAAATGTTCTCACAATGTTGCTCATGTTAAACTCAAAACATAACCTTCTAAAAGGTATCCAAGTTGAAGTACAAAATACGTCGAAGTAATTCCTTCACAACGAGTTGAAATTTGGGCGGGATAAATGGTTACAGAAATAACTGTCGTACTTGAATGAAACTCTAAGAAAAAATATGTTCCCACAATGGTCTTTACTTGGGTAGAAGCTACAATTTAATAATGTTTCAAAAACGCCCCTTAAAATGGAAATAAAGATAATCATGATAACGTTCTCGGAATGATGCTCATGGGAGAAAGTTCGAATACATATTTGTTTGTGGAAATAAAGATAATCATGATAACGTCCTCAAAATGATGCTCATGGGAGAAAGTTCGAATGCAAGTTTGTTTGTGGAAATAAAGATAATCATGATAACGTCCTCAAAATGATGCTCATGGG